GACAAGCCAGGCACGATCCGGTCCCTCTATTCACCGACATTCTTGGTATCTCAGCGGGACGTTTCCATCATGTCGAACTCGGCCGTTGTGAGATGGACGGTTGGCCTCTCGGCTGCCGTGGCAGGCGTTTTTGCCTTTGCCGTTGTGCGTCTCCAACAGCCCCTGTCCGAGGCAGATGTCGATGGCCCGCAGACATACTGCTACCAGGGCGTCCGCACTCACGATGACGAGCAACCCACGGCGCAATGCTTCACCGTCGAGGACGGCAAATTCTCAAGAGTCTTTGCCTGGGATGATGCGAGCCTGACGACCACGCCCGGCTTCGTGATTCCCGGTCTTTGGGATGGACATGGCCATCTGCTTCAGTACGGCGAGTTTCTGCACTCTGTCGATCTTTTTGGCGCCGCCTCCTTTGATGATGTTCGAGGTCGGCTCCGAAACTATGTCGATGCCAATCCTGATGCTGGGACCAGTGAGGAGTGGATACGGGGTGTGGGCTGGGACCAGAATGTCTACGGCCGGATGCCGACGGCGGTTGGTTCACCTGTTCCCCCTTTGCAGTGTTTGGGCGACTCACGTGTATGACAGGCAGATATTGAAGAGGATGAGCTCCTCATGGGCAAGTTCTTCATGCTAGACCGCATCGATGTCCACTGCAGCTGGGTCTCGCAGGCCGTCCTAGACCTTCTGCCTGCCGACATCCCAGACGTCCCAGGCGGAGACATTATCCGGGAGCCCGGCATGGGTGTCTTTTGCGACAATGCGATGGACATGCTCTACGCCATCTTCCCGGCGCCCGGCCGCGAGAAGAAGCGTGCTTTCGTCTCCACGGCCATGGCCAAGCTCAACGAGGTCGGCATCGTCGGTATGCACGATGCAGGCGTCTTCCCCAACCACCTCGAACTCTACGCCGACATGGCCGGCTCCTCCTCCGACTGGACCGTCCGCGTCTATGCCATGCTCGAGTGCGCACAGCGCAACACGTACTGTCCTGACGCCGCCGCCCAGGTGTCCCGCGTGTCTGACCTCCTGAGCGTTCGGAGCGTCAAGCTCTTCGCCGACGGCGCCCTCGGCAGCTGGGGCAGCGCCATGATCGAGCCCTACAGCGACAGGCCCGAGACTTCAGGCTCGCTGCTCGTCAACGCCACAACCCTCACAAATCTTGCCAAGTCCTGGGCCGCCTTTGGCTACCAGGTCAACATCCATGCCATCGGCGACCTCGCCAACCGACTCGCCATTAACGCCCTCGAGGCCGCCCTCGTCGACGTCTGTCCGGAGAGCGGCGACAGCGGCGCCGAGGTCCACCTCGCAGCCTGCCAGGCCGACCGCCGCTTCCGCATCGAGCACTCCCAAATCATTCACCCGGACGACCAGAAGCGCATGCATGCCCTCGGCATCCTCCCCTCCATCCAGCCCACGCATGCCACGTCCGACATGAAGTACGCCGAGCTGCGTCTCGGCCCCGAGCGCACCGCCACCGAGGCCTACCGCATGCGCTCCTTCCTCGACATTGGACCCGTCCTCGGCAGCGACTTTCCCGTCGAGCCGCCGAACCCGTTTGAGGGCATCTTCGCCGCCGTGGCGAGGAAGAACCCCGCGACGGGGCACGGCGTCGACGGCAGCTCGGACGGGTGGCACATCGAGGAGGCGCTGAGCCTGGACGAGGCACTTCTGGGCTTCACGAGAGGCCCTGCCTTTGGCGCGTTCATGGAGGGACGGGTGGGGGTCATCAAGAAGGGGGCACTGGCGGACTGGATTGTGCTCGACGAGCCGCTCGATGCGCTCGAGATCGACGACCTACGCAGTCTAAAGGTCAAGCAGACGTGGGTTGGAGGCAGGATGGTTTACGAGTATCCTGGAAGTGAAGGGCTCGAGGTTGAAGATCTTTGAATAAATGAGCCAGCATCAAGGTGACACATGGCATTGAGACAGATGGATAGATGAGGCTGTCAAGTCCGCATGCAAGATGAAAGACGAGACTTGGAAGGTGTACACAAAGCGGGTAAAAAAGACAAGTGAAATTGAAGGGCATGAATTATGAACCCGAGACGGCATGGTTTTCACGAGACGCCAAACACAATAGAGTCCAGCGGTAGCTTCAGGTCCCTATCCACCATGACGCTGACTATACTATGGCTGCTGTTTCGCCGCGAAGAGCTCGACCAGCCCATCCACAGCAATGTTGCCTCCGCTGAAAACAAGCCCCAGATCCCAGCCAGCCTCGCCAGCTTCCCTCTCCACCATGGCCCTGAAGTCTTCGTTGTAGAGCGCAGTGGCCAACGGCACGGCGGCACTTGGCTCGATGACGAGCTTGAACCGCTCAAAAACGAGCTTCGTCGCTTGCAAGATGTCATCCTCGGATACAGCAAACATGGCGCTCACGAGCTTGCGTTCATAGATGACGCCCCACGGGTGGACGCCGAGGGGAGTGCGCAGACCATCGGCAATGGTTCGACTCTTGACGGTCTCGACACGCTTGCCCGCCTCGTAGCCACGCTTGGCATCATCGGCGCCCTCATACTCCGGCTCTGACCCGTAGACGCGGATACCAGTACCCTCGCAGCTCAGGGCAACGCCAGAGAGCATACCGCCACCTCCACAGGGTGTCACGATGGCGTCGAGGTCTTTCTTCCCGGCAGGCAGCAGGTCTCGCGCCTGGTCCTGAAACTCGAGGCCCATGGTGCCCTGGCCGAGCATGATGTCGGGGTGGTCGTAGGGCGGGACGAGGCGTGCGCCGGTGGCGGCGATGACCTCGTTGGCGACGGCCTCACGCTCGACGCTCGTGGAGCCGCTCGGGTATACGATGGCGCCGTAGCCCTTTGTGGCGGCGACCTTGTTGGGGCGGGACACGGAGGGCATGACAATATGAGCAGGGATGGAGCTCTCGCGGGCGGCGAGGGCCAGGGCCTGGGCGTGGTTTCCGGAACTGTGTGTGGCCACGCCCCGCTGGGCGCCGCCGCCCTCGCGCCATCCAGGCTCCATCTTGAGGCGCTCAATGGCATGAAACGCGCCGCGGGCCTTGAAAGCACCGATGCGCTGCAAATTCTCGCACTTGAAATAGAGGCGAAGAGTGGGCTTGGCTGGTGTGCGGCCTTGCCATGTTGTGCCGGTGAGCGAGGCGACATGGCGTGGGGTGGAAGCCAACTCATTGAGAGTCTTGTTCGTCAGGACGGGGGTCAGGTGAACGAGGGGCTTGATGAGGGCGTGAGCCTCGATGACCGAGTCCCGGGTGAGGGGACGGCAGGTGGCAAGATCAGCCATGGTGGTGGAGGTGGTGATGGTGAATGGTCAGAGCGAAGCTGTCGAGGCTGAGGTGCGAAAGATGTCAAGCTTATGAACAGAGCACCCCTCAAGTCCAGAAGACCGAAGCGGCGGCAGAGACCGGTGCGAGTATCGGCCTAAAATGGCTGTGGGTGCGGAGGTGGAACCCCGAAGACGCGGGGTGAGCCAGTAACTCGGCGAAACAAGCGGCCTCGCCGCATCGTGTCGGTTCGCATCGAACCTGGACGGGGACAGAGGGTATTCATTTGTTGATGTTTCCAGGACAGAAAGCAGAGCATGAGAGCTGTCGAGGCCCGATACTGTTAGGGTTGGTCATGGGGATCTTGGGTCGCCGAGACGAAGTCTGGAGGCAGGGGTCACTCAGGCAGCCAGGGCAGCGTCGTTGGGGTCACGCTGGGGTGCTGCTTCCTCTCCTCGGCGACGTCGGGTACCAGTGGCAGGTGCCACGGCGGGGCCTGATTACATAAGAATAAAACGACGTCCCTCACATGAGGACCTCCCTCCGCTCTGCCCCCGTATGATCCGATCTATATCTACAGCTTCCTCGCCTACGCTTACCTACCTTAGGTACACTTGATTGATCCTGGCCTTCCCTTCTCCCAACCGAGCACGGCGAGACGACATCTAAGAGCGGGAAAAGCAAACCCCATGCTGGAAATCTACAGTCGCACAATTCAAGAAGCCACTTACATGAGAAACAACACATCATGTCGGACCACAACTCCAACAAGCTCTCCTCCACCTTTGCCATGTCTCCCCTCGCCTCTCACGGCCCCAAGTGGTCCGCGCTCTGGGAGGAAAAGTACACACCCTGGGACCGTGGTGGCCCCTCGCTTGCCCTCAACGATTTCCTCCTGAGCCGTCCCAATCTCGTACCTCCTGTCACATCCTCTACCGCGCCGAGACCCAAAGCCCTCGTCCCCGGTTGCGGCAAGGGCCACGATGTCCTGCTGCTGGCCGCCTTTGGCTATGATGTTGTCGGGCTGGACTTTGCTCCAGCTGCCGCCAGCGAGGCCATTGAGAACGAAAAGTCTGTCCGGGAAGCCCTGCGAGATGGTGACAAGACCGCCGACGTCTACAAGCCCAAGGAGGGCGTTCCGTCAGTGGGCGCCGTAGCCTGGGCCACCGGCGACTTCTTCAGCAATGAGTGGCTTGAACAGAGCAATATCAGCGAGGGAACCACTTTTGATCTCATCTTCGACTACACCGTAAGTCACACAGGCCATCTTCCGGCCCCCCTCCCGCCACACCAGGCTAGCACAGCTAACGAACTTACGTAGTTTCTCTGTGCCCTCCCATTGTCTGCTCGCCCAAAGTGGGCTGCCCGTATGGCAGCCCTCCTCAACCCCAACGGGGGACGGCTGGTCTGTCTCGAATTCCCCTCAGGAAAGCCCCTCTCCCAAGTTGGTCCCCCGTGGGGCCTGACCAACGATACGTACCTCGCACTTCTCGCGCGTCCCGGCGAAGAGCCCACGACAGCCCCCGACGGCAGCATCAACGTGCCTGATATTAAACCCGGCGGCTTGCGCCGTCTCGAGCTTGTCAAGCCCGCTCGCACTCACAAGGCTGGTGAGAACGAAGATGGAACCGTGCGAGATTGGCTCCACGTGTGGAGCCTCGTCGGGGCGTAAAGGTCAATCGCCTACGACTATGGCGAAAGACAGGATAGACGTAGACCACGCTTTTGGTAGATCCAATTATATTCGTAGTCGTTTCTTTCACGCCGCCTTACGGAGCGAGTTGTAGTGCTCACCCAAACCGTAACCGTGGCGGTAGTACGCCAGCCATATGACCTCAGTCGCCTTGCCGTCCTTGCCGCCGCTTGGCGTCTCGATCGTCTCCGTACGCCCGTCCTGGACGACCTTGATCTCGACCCCGTACCGCGCCGCCAGCGCCGCAAGCTCTAGCTGCCCGCCCCATTCAGCCGTGTCCCGGATCTTGTGGAGGTATCCGTCCAGCGGCTCTTCCAGAAAAGGTGCATAGTCGTCCGGTCGTCCTGCCATCCAGTCCGCAGCCGCCCTCCGCACGATGCGGTACGATTCGGTGCTGTCACTGCCAACCCCCAGCGGAACACCACGCTGCTTCAGCTGATCCGCCACCGCCGAGAACAGACAGTGCCCATCCGGCTGTATGTCCTTCTCCACGAGTCCATTGGCTTCGAATACACCGGCCATGTATTTCTTCTCGATACCTCTGTGGTCCGTCATGTTCTTCGCCTCCTCTTCCGCCCGCACCGCCGCCTCCTCCTGCTCCGCCGCCCGCCTCGCGAGCCTCTCCTTCTGTCGGTTCCGCTTCTTGCCTCCCTGCGAAGGGGCCTCCTCCTGCTGCACCTCCTTGCCTTGCGTCCCGGTTATGGCTGCCCCACCTAGCCGTCCCGCGAGTTCGTCGATCTCGTTAGTCGCAGCATCGGCCGCCGCTTGCTCTCGCTTCTGTTCCTCCTCTTCTTCGTCTTGTTCTTGGTCCTCGCCCCTCGCCGCCGCCGCGAGCTCCTCCGCCTGCCTCTCCTTCAAGACCCGCTCGAGCTCGGCACACTCGTCATTGACGCCCTTGCGCGTCTTCTTCGTCGCGTTCTTCTTCTTGCTCGTCGTCCGCGCCACGAGGTCGCGCTGCTCCTTGCGGTGGCGTGCCTGCATCTGCTCCAACGTCTCCTCCATTTTGCGTCGGTTTTGGGGCGCGAGAGCTGTTCGAGCTCGAGGTGACACACGTGTGGTGGTAGCGGGGACCTTTGCCGTTTATCGCGGTCAAGTTGCAATGTCGCCGGCGCCTTCGAGTCGTGTGCGAAAGGGGAGGAGTCGAAATTGGGAGGGGGGAGCGACTACAAACACTCGCCTTGGTGTGGTAAGGCTCTCGGGTCTGTTGGCTTGTTGTGGGCTGAGTTGGGCTGGGAACAGGATGGCGGGGTCGCGAGAAGAAGCTCGCTGGAGAGAAAACGGCCGGTCGGTGGTGGGGCAATTCTTTTACCCCTCCAAAGACTGACTCTATGGAAGTTATAGCCCCCCCCCCCCCCCTTCTGTCCATTGAGTTGGAGCGCATTTGGTAATTCAACTAGAAACCAGGCCTCTGCCGGAGTAGACCAAAGAGTTCATGCCTGAGAATTGCCAACATATAACTGAATGGACAGCCTAGCGGCTCGTTTCTCGACATTTAAAATATCAAAACCTCGGGTCACCCTTCTTTGCAATTCACATCGGTACGCGTCAAAGGAAAAACAACAAGCTTGAAGCAGGCTAAAGAAATACATTGAACGATTGCTATGCTCGGCAGTGTCTTGACAAAGCCGAGGGGGTAGTGAACTCCTTATATCCCGTAACTCCCAAAACCCATTGACCCTGAGGTCCCAGGTCATGTGCCCAATCCCTTGAATCTTCTACAAAGATGATACATACATGTCCATCTGGTGCTGGCAACCCAGACTCAGCTCTTCATGCTCAGTGAAGATGAAAAGAAAAAAACTAAAATCCTTTGAAGGGATCATCGCGGAAAAAGTCCTCTTCTCCCGCCGTCTTACTCCCGCCATAGTAATCATTCGTACTACGCGTGCTTCGCGAATTCTGGCGTTCGCGATGCCTGCTCCGGCTCGACCTGCGACGCATCTCCTTGCTACGCCGCCTTGCGCGGTAGCGGAACTCATCATTCTCATCCGGATCCCCATCGAAACCACCAGAGAATGCCAGCGGGCTGATGAAAGCTTCCATGCGAACTGTGCCGATGGCATCGAAAAAGTTGCTCGGCCGCGACGAAGCTTCCGACGTTCGTTGCGACCCTGCCGTGCTCAGGCCCCAGCTAGGACCCCCACTTGACGCCTGTGATCGATGCGACTGATAAATATCAGACGAGCCTGCCGTGCCAACGCTGTTGCCTGCGTTGCTATCGGTGTAACTGTGGCCTGCTGCCGGGCCCGAGAAGCCGCGGAACGACAGTGGCGGTGGCACATGACCACCCGTGTTACTGCGCTTTCTACCGTGCACCATAGCCTGGCTGCTTCGCTCGTGAAAACGTGGAATGAAGGGCGGTTCGGCCGCATCACTCGACTGCTCGCGCTGGTGGTGACTACTCATCGGTAACGGCGGGAACGTCTCGGTCTGCCTGGAGCTGCTGACATCCCCGACCTGCGACGACGGTGCGCTCGGGAGGCTGCCGGGAATGCTGGGCACGGGAGGCTGTCGGAACGATGGCGCCTTACTCTTGGTCAAGCGAATCGAGTCCCGGATGCCTGTCTTCCGCTTGGGCTGAGGCATCTCAAAGTCTGGCAGTACTGTCTTGGGTGGCGGAGGGGCCGTGATGATCTCGGGTACCGCTTGCTGTGAGTGAGCAAGGAAAGACAGCGCTGTCAGCCAGATGTAATGACGGTCTGCAGACACGGCCGTAAATTTGAGGGCCCTCTGCGGAGTCAAAATCAAGATGGACCGGTTGAAAAGTGTCGCCCCACCCTTGGGCGTCGGGTTGTCGTCCTTGACGTCAAGAACAGACTGAATCGTCACTGCAAAGAATGTAAGTTGCATGACCAATATCAAGTCAAGCTGGAGGTTTCTTACGCTTTCGGCCAGCCTTGCCCATCAAGGCGCTGCCAGAATTGGGCTGCTTGCTGCTCCATAAGATGGCGCGCTCGTATGGAGCCAGCCAAACCCATCTCTTGTGACGATCGTTGCTGTTGTCATCCTTGCCGTTTGTTTCTGGTACGCCAAATGACTTTCGCCTCCTCACGTACTTGAACATCCATTCGCCGACCATTGTCTGAGCGATGGCATCTACAACGCCGGTGGTTGGCGAACCGCCTCCGATCGAGTTCAGGTCTGTCAGGTTTGTCTGATTCGTCTGATACGTTTGACTCGTCTGGGCCGTGTTTGTCGACGGTTGAGACCGGTGGGACGACCTGAAGCGTGATCGACTGGGCTCACGATGGCTCATGGAGGTGATATCATTGTGCGGCAGCGGCGGCAGGCTAGGGCTTTCGGGAACTTCTGTCGTCTCCGAGAACGGTGGTGGCGACCGGCTTTGTCGCCTGTTACGCTGGGTGCGTGGCAGAGCCGCAGCCGAACGCACTTTGCGGATACTGTTCGCACGGTAGTGGGTGCGGCTACTTCCTCTCCTGTGCCAACCGCCCTCTCCTCGTGTTGGGCTTCGCTGTCCATCGCTTGGCGCGCTAACACTGAATGGCGGTCGTCTAGAGCTTGCCCTCGTTGGAATAGGGAAAGGGGGATCTTGAGGATCTGGCAGACTGGGACTCCTTGAACGTCCTTGGTGGCTTGCAATACCACTCTGGATGAGAGCAGCCCGGCGCATCCCGTTCGGCTTGCTGCTTGGTCCGGCAATGGACTTCTCCACGCTACGTTGAGCACCCATTTGGACCGAAGTTCTTGAGCTAGGGTCTTTGTCCTTGTTGACAGTCTCCTTGCTCTGTAGACTATAGCTATAGCTTTCGGTGCCGAGCGGCTTTGCGGAGCTTCTCGGCGCGGAATGATACCTCATAGAATCATGTTCTGGAGATGTCGCCGTGCCGGATGACCTTCGCTTGGATGGTTTTACCGCACTGGATTTCGGTCTCTGGCCTGGGTGTGACAAAGCCGTCTGGAACTCAGGATCGCTCAGGTCACCATCGCCAAAGTCGTCCGCTTCATCGGAGCTGTTGGCATCGAATCCTGCGAAGAGACTGCTGATGCGATGGGGCCGGCGCATCGGTGCCTTTTGACTCGAGAGTGGTCCGTCGTCGTTGTTGCCCGGGTAGGCGTCATTGTGCGTGTTTTCAAGGCCGTTGGAGAGCCCCCCGGAGAAAGTCGGCGAGATCGGAGGTGCGGGAAGCGGTGGTGATGGTGGCACATCACCAATACTGCGCCTACTCGTCAAACGTCTTGGGTTTCTAGGCGGCAGGTTATTGGGCGCAGGCGTGAATTGAACCAATGAAGGATCACCAGCATTCGCTGGAGCCGCTGGGTTGGGAGACGGTGGCCGCGACGATATGGTGTCTGGATGCAGATGAAGTGGAAGCCTAGCAAGGCGCTGGTCGATTCGGATCTCTTCGGTCTGAACACCGATCGATTTCGAAGCAACAGGCGACGATAGAAGTGATACTTGACAAGCGGCATCCTTGTTATAAAGTGGCAGTCTGGGCTCGCGCGGAGTCGACGGCCGGCTCGTGGGTGGGATGACGCTGATGCTGGGAATCGACAACTCTCTCAAAGGGGCAAATTCAGGCAACCTCTGCAGCGGCTCTGGCTCGTCTTCCTTCTCGGTCTGTGTCGAAGCTGACACCATGGGAACAGTCTCAATCTCCGGAGATGGTGGTGTCATGGACCGGAATGGGGATTTGGGCGTCTTGGGCGGGCTCAGCGGCTCCTCTGCTGTCTGCGATCCAGCTGAAACCATCGATTCTTGAAGACGGTACGGTGGCTCGATGCTCAGTGGTCTGGCGAGCTGAACGCGTTTCCGTCTCTGATTCGCCTCAATCTCCAGCTCCGCGTGACGCTGGCTGTCGCCTTCGGGAGGTCTCTCGACCTGTGTTAGGGGTTCTGGCGTCGCCGGTTTGAAAACTTCGCGTGTAGGGGACGGAGGAGGGGAAAACTGCACTCCCGTGTCTTTGTAGGCTAACTTTGGCGCAGGTGGTGCTTCCTCTTCGTCCTCATCCTCTTGGATCCCGTCTTCCAGGGCCTCCAAGACGGTCTGGTTCACCCAAAGTTTGCCACGCGCAACGCTGCCTGGCCTCTTCAGGCTTTCGATGCTTTGGTTGCGACGGTGCATTCTGGACACAACGCTGTCGCGGCTCATGTTGCGCGTATGGCGGTGATGCGAGAGCACGCTCTCCCTACCGCCATCATCTGTGTGCCAATCATCATCGCCATCAAGGTTGAGCTCATCCGCAAGGCAGTTGCCGGTGTTCGTCTTTCCAGGACTCTGCTGTGTCGAGAACCGAATGCTGTTGGTCATGCTCATTGTGCGGATGCTCGCTGCGTCGGTCTCACGACCAGTCTCCTCCGCCTCGCTCTCGGCGCCATTTCCATTGGTGTGCGCGTTCTGGTATGCGGCAACCTCATCAAGAACCACTTTCATTCTTGTCTCAGCAATGTGGATTTTCCGCTCGTACTTTCGCTTCTCTTCGTCCCAAGCGTCCTTGTCGCGCGTCCACAAGTCATGAACACGCTGAGAATCATCTTCCTGCGTTCGAATCTTTCGCTGTGCAACATCGAGTCGTTTCTTCAGTTCCGTTGCGGATTCAACCGCTTCATCTCTCTCACGAGCCAGCTCTCCAATAGCGGACGAAGATCCACCCTCAAGGAGAGCCAATTGGCGTTTGAGGGATCTGGTTTCCTTTGCAGTGACAGTTGCAGTCTCCTGTAGTGCCTCCTGCTCCCCTCGTGTAGCATGCAACGAGGCCTCAAGGTTCTCGATCAATTTGATTTTATCTTCCTGATCCCTTCTCAAGTTGAGTATCTCGGCCACCAGGTTTGCATGGAGAGTCGGGGTGAATCGTCGAGGATCCAGAACGCTGATCGTGTCGTCGTTGGAAACGTCTTTTGATGACCGCTTGGAAGCCTTGCCACCGCGGTCAACAGCCGGCAGTGGCGGAGAGGTCTGCATCCCTGGAGGAGTTATAGACCGACGTGACCTCCTCGAAGCGTTGGACGGTGTTCTATAAGGTGTGTCTTGTGGTGTGGGTAAC